TATTATTAAACTTAATTTAAATTATAATAAAAAAATAAATTAAAGAAATTACATAAAAAATGAAAACTTTTAAATAGTTGATTTGATATTAACATTAATATATTTTTCTTCAAATTTTTATGATATCTTCAAATTTAGATTTTATTTAAAAATAAAATCATTAATGTTTTCTTAGAAACACATAAAATCTTATTATAACATCGACAAAGACAAATAATAAAATAGAAAATTAAAATCAAGATGTGTTTTTCTACATTGTGCGAATACTCTTCTAGTTATTATAAGAAAGATTACTTTTGTTAATTTATTATAAATAGATTGTAATTTTTTATAACATGTATTTTTAGGACAATGAGTTTAAAAAATTATAGTACCAAACAAATTATATAAATATGACAAATTATATTCCAAATTATAAATTCATCGAAGATATGTTATCATATTATATCATATCTTATGACGTTCTAAATTATAAGAGAAAAAAAAAAAGAATTTGATTAGATTATTATGACTCTAAGTTGTTTATTAATTATTTTTTTCTTCAAATTGCTTCTTTTAGGAATAAAATAATCTATGAACCAAGTTGATTATAAAAAATGTTATTAAAAATAAGAGTAAGGTGGCGTTTGTTTTTTTAAAAGGTGCTGAAGTCTGAAGTCTGAATTCACTTCTGAATTTTAAGAGGTGGTGCTGAAGTCTGAAATCTGAATCAGTCAGACTGTTTGTTTTTACGTCTGAAATCTGAAATCTGAAACCAAAGAGAAATCGAGAAGATTACCAGAACACCAGCTTGAATCTGCGATGTATGAAGAACACCAGCTCCAATCGATGAATGGGACGAGAGTGGATGAGAGCGACGTAAAGGAGGCGGATGAGAGCAACGTAAGGAGGCGGATAAACAAATCAGAGGTATTAAGAGCTAGGGTTACCACTTAAAAATTCAGAGGAAACCTTATGAATTCAGCTCTTAATTTGGGGAAAAAAACAAACGATCTGAAAGTCTATATGTCTGACCGATTCAGACATAAGAAGAAATTAAGAGGCAAATTTTAAAAAACAAACAGGCCCTAAATTGCAATTTTGATTTCTATGGTTTCTTTTTTTTTTGGATTGGGTCCCTATAATTTTTTTTTTGCAAGAAAACCTTTATGGCATGTAATAAAGTTTGATTTTTTAACGGTTGTTAAAAAATCATGTTAAATTAGGGTTATTGTGGTCATTATACTCTTTTTTTTAATTATCTATTTAAAATTAACAAATAATGAAATATATTACATATATTATAACGTTATATATATTTTACATACATACACTCTACGGGCTTTCATTATCTCCATCAACCCCAACAAATCCTCTTCATTCCAACCATGAAATGTCGTCATGTTTTGTGAATTTGTAACACCAAAAACCTCAAATCTTTTGAGGCCAAAAGTTGAACTTTTCAATCCCCACAAAATTATATTGCTTTGATTATCAGGTTATGAAAAAACAAGCAAGATTTAAAGGTTTGGGGTTTAGATTTAAGGGTTTAGGGTTGGGTCCCATGAAGAGAAGGTATATCGTCTATGGTTTGTCTCTGTATATATAATTATTATATAATAAATATTAAATATATTATATTAATTAATTTCATTTTCTAAAAGAAAAACAAGAAAAAGATTACAATACCCTTGTCTGAACGGTTTATTTTAACCGTTAGTGGGAGAGGAGACAAAAATCAAGCATTTTTGTATACCACGAGAGTTTTCTTACAATAGAGGTTTTGTAGGAATCCAATCCAAAAAAAATAACAAACCATAGGGACTACAATTGCAATTTACACTAAAAATAATAATAATAATAATTATTATTACAACTTTAAATAAATGTTTCACGTCCGAAAGCTCCATTAAAGATGCCAAGTCAAGCAAAGCGTATGAATGAACATACACCTTTTCCAGCCTGCCATGTATATAAAAATTTAAAAAATTGCTAGTAGCCTAACATAACAACAAGAAGGATGCCACCTTCTCAAAGAAAGCAGACACATTAAACAACAATTTTTGCAGTAAAAAAGGAGACATACAAAATATATAGTTGTGTAAGAATCATTTACAGTTAGCTCACCTCATTTTGTAACCAATTGCACAAACCTATGAACGATTGAGTGATTGCACGAAGCCACAAACACAATTGAACAACCTGTCAGGCATGAACCTTTGGTTCGGGTTTCTTTGGCTTGGTGCAACTTCAAGTCTTCAACCCGTTTGTACTTTTTCTTAAGCAAATTAGCATTTTCGTCACTATGGTTTATTAATAATTTTGATTTTCATCCTTGTTGTTTATAATTTGCAATTTATTGTTATTTCCATCCATGAACTAACTCCTACTTTTAAGTATAAGAGACCGGAGGACGGAGGGGTCTGCGAGATATAGCGGCTAGAAGGAGAAAATCCTTTGTGGGTCTAACTTGATTAAATTAGACGAATATGATTATTGATAGTTTTCTAAAATGACGTCCCAGTTGTTTAGTGTTGGCATTACAAACTAAGTCATGAAACATATCTGAGTAAATGATGATTTTCTATAAACATATTTGATTTTAATATATAATAAATAATGACAACGTCTTGATAGAAAATACAATGACTTTGATAGAAAATACAGTGACCTAATACAAAATAGCTTGAGGTATAATAAAAAGAAATGAAATAGCAATGTATTATAGTAGAAAAATGTATTATTTCTTACCTGTAACATTACTATAGAATATTAATGGTTTATAATATATCAAAATAAGATCTGTGGCATGTAATTCAGTTGACAAAGAGATGAGATGACTTATCTAAATATACTACATGTCATGGGTTAGATCCTTGACCCCCATTAGCCTCAGTCGTTGAACGAGATAAAAAATACCCCCCACATCAGTGTCCTTCATATTCTATAAGAGACCGATTGAAGTTACTATAATCAACTTTTGGTTCAAATATATCAAAATAACACATCATAGTTTGATAATATATAAAAATAAGACTTTGGGTCAATAAAGATGCAATGAGGTTTGACTTGGTCAAAGTCATTCAACAAATATAATTAATTAGAGTAAACTATGTTTTTATTCTTATTGAAAATTGCTATTTTTTATGTTTTTTTAAATTGTGGTTTTTATTCTTGTGATGTATAAATTATTGTTGTTTTTGTTTATAGTTTACAACTGATTGTTGTTTTCGTTACTCATACTTATCGATAATAAACCACTGACGAAGTTAGTATGATGACGACAACAAGTATGAATTGCAAATTATAGGAACAAAAACAAAAACAAATTACAAATCATAGGGATGAAAACAACAACTTCGAAAGCATCAAACGGAATTCGCAATTCTTAACAAACGAAAGAGACTAATTAAAAACACACTTTAAGACCAAAACAAAAGGTTAAAGCTTAAAAAAAATCAAGCAAATTGATTGTTTTTTATATTATAAAGCAATTTGAGGAAATGGTGTGTGTGTATGTATATATATATATATATATATATAAACACAGGTATGGAGGTATCACAACCAACACTTTGATTGATGGATGTCAAAAGTCAGCTAGTTGATAGATCAGAGCTTAAGTTAGGAGACCATCTATATGTTTGTCCGGATATGCAAACAATGGGTGACGCTGGTTAGTTCTTCGATCAACTACTATACTCAAGTTTCGCTCTCTCTCTCTCTATATATAGTAATTACTAAATATTCATTTGTGAATATATTTATATGCAGGTATCTTCATCGGGGAAGACAAAATCATTCATTATGTGAACCCAATTAAGACGGGTGGTTGGGGTTGTCTTGGTCACTGGTGCACACCTTTTATGAGCTCAACTAGCGGCGGCAACAGTGGTGGTGGTGGCGATGGCCATGGAAAGGAGCGAAAGAAACGTTGCTCGATATCTTATTGTGGACAGGAGAAAGTAGCCGGAAGTAGAGTGAGGTTGTCTTGCGTAGATTGCTATATCAATGAACAAAGCTTTCTATATCAATTCACATATGAATCTGATCCCCCAGAAGAAGTGATAAATAGAGCTACTTATCTATATGAAAATTGGCGTTCCAAGTATAAACGGAAGGGAATTAATAACAATAAAGATTTTGCAATTTATTGCAAGACCGCTCCAATTGATGTTCTAGGTCTGCCCAACTTTCGAAGTATAAACAGCCGGGGTTCCAATAACAATCTGCGAAGCTTTGCACCAGCTAATGTTCCACAATTCGTATTAAACAGAAGGAAGAAGAGATCCTGATGTCGTAAAGTAAGGACAAGAGTCGTTTGTATTCACAATGAATAAAAACCCATCTCGGAAATATTCAACCATTTGTGAGGTCGGGATGCATGTATTCATGAAATCAATCAAGCTCCATCAATCAAGCAAACTTTCATATTTTTAATGTATTATTGTTATTATGTGTGTAGTTAGTTCATGAACTTAATATGATTCCAATGTCAAAAACTTTATATAATTCATTGAACTACAAAACAAAGATGCTTCCTTGACCAAAAAAGCAATCAGAAAAAAACCATCTCCGACGGCAGATCTCATCGCCGGAGAAAGTGCAGCCGGTGATTTTGATTATAGGCGGATTACCGTCGGTGATAGTCAATTCACTGGTGATCCTCCACAAATCTGTCGATATTACCGACGAAAAAATCGGTCAATGAAACCTATTTATTTTGTAGCAACAACATTAATTAATCAAGAAAACTAAATAATTGAAAGGTCTTTAATTCTCCTATTTCATCTTTTTATTTACTGATTGATCAATTATTTATTTACTTTGATCAGTCAGTTTTTTAAGTTTCAATAACACTATGATAAATTGGCGTTAAAAGACACCAAAGATGTTTAAGCATTATAATAAAATATTTTATAAAACTTAGTTTATAGGAACAAACTATAAAGTATCATATATATAAAGTGTTACAATAGGTTTATAGAACGTTTTAAAAATAAAGTCTCATATTAGCTATTCTATATGATACGTTTGATAAATGTCATATAAACCCATCTTTTTATAGGATATTTGTGTTGATAGAACATTTTTTTCAAATAGTGTTGTATAAAATAGTAATACGACACTTTATTTTTAAAGCATGTTAAAAAACGCTTAAAATCGTCATGCAAACCTATTTTAAATCATTTACATACGACGTTTTTTATTTTGTTCCTATAAACTTAAGTCCTATAAGACATTTTATTAAAACACTTAAAAAATTTTAAGTGTCCTATAAAACCATTTTTTAGTGTAATATTAACTTTTAATGAAATTTCAATAATATTTATCAACTTTTTGTATTGAAATTTATGTTACAAATATAATTTATTAAAATTGTGATACAAAATGAGTTCAAACTTATAAGTCTGAGGAATGGAAATCCAGAATTTTGCTTATTTAAGTATTTGAAAAGAAATCCCTTTTCATACGGAAATCAGTTATGTTTACAGAGACAAATATCAATTAAATAGGCTCATTTGAACCAGTAATGTAAGTTGTGTCTACATACATGTTCAGCGTTCAGACTTCTAAGTCTGGGAAAGAAGCCTCCAGATTTAGAAACTATAGAAAACATATCAAAAATTTCTAATTAGTCTGAGAAATCAGTTAAACCATGAAAACAGGAAAATAAACGTGCAGAGGAACAAATGTCACTTAAATAGACCTATTTGAACCGTAAGTGAAAATTGTGTCTAGATACATATTTAGGCGGGAAAAGTTAATAACCGTCGCACAAAAACATGACACGTGTCCTCAAAGTTACTTATTTATTAGGCATATATATATATATATAGAGAGAGAGAGAGAGAGAGAGAGGTGGGTTATTATACAACCTCTTACATTTGTACAACCAATACAACTCAATCTCAACCGTCCATTTAATTTGATGAATATGTAATTTATAGAAGTTTTGATTATTTTCATGATATAAAGTATTAATCATAATTAATAAACCGTATTCATATTCCATAAATATTTAAATCATAATAAATGAACTCTTATCATTTTCATAAATATTTCAATTTATTAGATTGCATTAATTATACAAATGCGATAAATTGTATTTGAAACAAACTCTCTTTCTCTATATAATATCTAGGGAGGAAGAAGAATGAAAGTGGGTTTGACACTTGGTGTATAAAACTATGACCTTAGCTGACTCAAATTTGTATTACAAGTTGACTTGGGTCTTATTTTAATATATTTTGTAACAATAACGTGTTTTAATTAAAATACTAGATACAACAAATATTACTTTTGTTTATTATAATATTGTAATTTTTTATGATATTATTTTACTTTTAAGTTATTTTTTGGGATTTAGAATTTAAAAAAAATACCTATTATTATAATCAAAGAAGTTTGAGTTACAAATCATATGAATGTTACGGATCATATGAACATAACTCCAAAAACAATTAAATGAAATGAACTACTCTAAATACATCAAGATTCGTTATGACGTCATATCCTATGACGTTCACATCCTATGACGTTCACGTTCACGTTCTTGATTGTAACGAAAAAAAGAAAATCTTCAGGGACAGGGGTTGGAAGCGGATTTAAAAAGGATATTTGATTAGATTATTTATGACTCTAAGTCGTTCATTAATTAGTTTTTTTCTTCTAGATAACACTGTTTTGTTTAGGAATCAAATAATCTATAAAACAAGTTGATTATAAAAAAATATTATCAAGAAATAACTATTACAACTTCAAATAATTAAATGCTTTTATCTGGCACCAATATTCGACTCAGTACGTCTGAAAGCTCGATCAAAGGTTCCAAGTCAAGCAAACCGTGCAAACCTACACTTTTTTCCAGCTGGACATGTAGATATATTAATAAATCATATAACTAAAACATAAAAATTAAAAAAATTTGCTACTAGCCTAGGATTTGAACTCGAGCTAGTAAACAAGTCAATCAATCTCAATTAGTGGCGGATCCATAAATTTTTGTAATGAGAGTCAAAATTTGTTACCAAAATTGCAAAAAAAAATGTAATTTATTGCAGTTTTAACGATATCATATTTTATGTATAAAGATACTGATGTAGTATTTCATCATATCAATGTGACGAATGATAATTTTGTATGTGAATGGCATCCTTGTCCCCTATTCCAATTTCTGTCATCGTCCTGTCGGAGAATATTGCTCACATCCCTATATTTGTCTCTAATAGGAATAACATATTTTTTTTTCTCATTTATGTGAGATATTTTAAATCAAATCCAAAATGGTCGACTTTTAAATCTTACATATTTCTAAATTTCTTTTTTTATGTTGTATCAAATAATCATATGCGAAGAAAATCACAACATCGAACGTAAACGTAACTGTTTGGTCAAACAGTTTCAGCTTTTCATGCTTTTTTATCTAAGAAGGTAACAGACAAGCCAAAGAAAATGTATATAAGAAGAAAAGTCAAAATACTCTTTGTAAATCCAAAAGATACTAAATCTAATTCTTTGTGAATACTATATCTAATATTTCCTCAATCCCAAAAAAATAAGTGTTTGTATTTCTATTTTATTTTGTTCCAAAACAATTGTTCACTTTAAAAAAAAATAAGTATACATTTTCCCATTCTACCCTTGATTATGTGATAGAGAAAATTTCTTTTTAGGGTGTGTTTGGTATGCAGACTACATGGGATGGAACGGAACAAAAATAATAGTCCATGTTTGGCATGCCATGGACAAAAAATACATAGGACAAAAGATGAGATTATTTTCAAATTTCATGGAATAAAAGTTGATATTTTTTGTTTCACCAAAAAAAGTGAAACTTCATAGGACTGAATATAAAATGACTATATTACTCTTTATTATTACAAACAACAAGGACAACAGTAATAAATATATTAAAAAAGAGAGTTGTTTGATCAATCGATAACACATACACCTCCACCCTGCAAATGAGTTTTTTAGTTATTTACCCATTTTCCTGGCAGCTTTTCGGTTCTTTTTTACGGTCGCACTATCCGAGCTGCATAACCAGTCTTGCAGTATTTTACGAAACCGTGATTGGTACCAACGATCGTTCCTTTATGCTCAGAACACCCATTTTCATACAGATACGTAGCTCTTTCTACCACTTGTGCTGCAGCATCCGATTTATATGTGAGTCGGTCTAGAAAGTCTTCTTCCTTGATAAAGCAATCTACGCAACACAACCTCACTCCACTTCTCGCCACTTTCTCCTCTCCACAATAAGATTTCGAGCAATGTGTCTTTTTCTTCTTTCCACTGTCGCCGCCACCACCACCACCACCACCACCGCTAGTTGAGCTCATAAAAGGTGCACACCAACGAGCACTAAAACACCCGCCACCCTTTTTTCGTTCCACAACATGAATAACTTTGTCTCCCCCGATGAAGATGCCTGCATATAAATATATATACATATATATATATATGTGTGTGTGTGTGTTTTAATAATTATATATACCAAATGAAAGAATATATATATATATATATATATATATGTGGAGAGAGAGAGAGAGAGAGAGAGTTGTGTGTAGTGTAGTATTAATCTGATAGAAGAACTGACCACTGTCACCCTTTGATGTCGAGCAACGAGCAACTAAATGGTCTCCTGCCCTCAGCTGGGATTTTGAGACCTTCTCATATTTCATTTTAATCAATTCAAGTGTTAGTTTTGATACCTACATACATGCATCTACCTACATATATATACATACATATATATATATATATATATGTGGACAAAGAAATGAAAGTGGGTTTGCCACTTGATCAAAATGGTGTATTAAACTATTAATTTGCTTTATTTTATTATTTGATCTGTTTACATTTTGATCATAAATTATGTTTGTTGTTGTGGTTTGTTAAAAATTGTTGATTTTATCTCTCAAGTTTTAAAATTACAATTTTTGTTATTATAGTTTGAAATTTATTTCTATTTTCATCTTTGAAATTAAACATTATTTTTAAATGTAAAAATAAAAATAGTAATGAATTATAAATCAATGCGGAAGAAAATCTTAATTTCAAAATGACAAGGACAAAAATTGTAGATTTCAACTAATTGTAGGGACTAAGAACGTAATTTATCTAAATAATATTTGTTCATTGACCCTGACCGACTTCAAACTTGTACTACATGTTGACCCAGAGTCTTATTTTGATATTTTCTTAAACAATGATTTTCTTACAAAATATTATTAAAAATAAGAGAAAATTGCAATTTGTTTCTATGGTTTATTGGTTTTTTGGATTGGGTCCTTATAAATTTTTTTTTTTGCAAGAAAACCTTGGTGGTATATAATAATGTTTGGTTTTGGTCCCTCTCGTTAACTGTTGTTAAAAAATTCTATTAAATTAGGGTTATTGTGGTCATTTTATTCTTTTCTTTAATTATCTATTTAAAAGTACGTTAACAAATGATCGAATATATATTATATATAATCTAACATTATCTATACTATATTATAAAGCATTTGGCTAAAACTCTTAAAAACTCTTAAACTCTTAAACTCTTAAAAACTCTTAAACTCGTTCATCTCTATCCGATTTCATCCCATATCTGAATTCGTGTAACTAACTGCAGATAAACACAATCAAATACAGGATAAACATCTTATTTTAAATATAAAAAATCT